CCAAATTGATTGAATTAAAAATTTCCCACATTTGACTACAACAAAATAATTAAGCCGACTTCCTGATGACGAAAATAGACGAGCTGAGCACAGACCGATTAATATCGCCCATAACAGCACAAACTGTGAAAAACAGGTTGTTATTTACATTAAGTCATTGTGTGCCGTTTTTATTATAATACGTTTAAATAATTTCATTTGATGATGCAATTAAACCGATAGAAATCTTTGAACTTGGACTTTGGAAGCGAGATGACTAAATATAGAAAACAATTCGGTTGCCATACAAGGTATTTTTGGAAATAAGAAAATTTTTGCATTGTCTCAATTCTTAATTAATTAATTAATTAATTAATTTGCAACAACACGACCAGCGCTCCTTGAAAAGTGATCATACGTCCACAAATTAACAAGAATATCCGTGTGAAATTTAATTACTACCAGTCAATGTCAACAGAGGCAATTTTATTGTTTTTGCCTGTAACTCTTTGGTAATCACTCGAACAATGTGAACGATTCCTTCATAATACAATTAGCTTTTAATTGAATTTTTTTCTAATCCCGTAGCCAGGCCATTGATGATTTGTGTATGGTGTGACTGCTAATTGCTCCCAATCGTTTTGTCTATTTTATATTATTTCAAACAACTGTTGAAAACGAACGAAAAGGAAAAACCAGTAGATTGTTCCACGTGGAATAAAATTCTTACTGTTCCTTGCATGTTTTTCAGCTCAAATCCTAGATTCTATAGGTATGCATCAGGCACCCCCGAGACCGGTTTCAAGCCTATTCGCTCTCTTCAGGTGTTTTTCGCTCTATATCGCCCCTGGATAATCGAGATTAGTACCGCTCACAAATAACTAACTAAATTGTCGAGTTTTTTCAAAGCCCGATTTTGCATCTTTCATATCCCCTACACTGCGTGAAACATTTGGAGCAAACTAGCAACCCTATAGCAGAATTTGTTTTGCAAATCGTTCCTGCGGCACACAAAAAGAGAGGCTTTTAAAGAGCGTCGCCCTTTCTGTTCGCCGTGTTTGTCATTTGTCACTCCATTTCAAACGAGAGATGGTCAAATTGGATTTTATTATTCCATCCCGTGTGGCTTTGTTGTTCCATTTGAGCATTTCATTGAATTATTATGAAGGGAAAGTCGGCTAAATGGGTTTCGTAACATGGATACGCATGCTGTTTGCGTCCCGACTGCGGAAAAATGTTGGCCGGGWTGAAATATCCCGGTTTGAATTGTCACTAATTGGGTATTTTGCAGTTGCAGAATGTTCAGCAGTTTTCCTTAAAAGATTAACATGAAGCATTAAAAMGCTTTACAACAATTACAACTGATAAAGTGGTTATTTCGCCCCCAGCACATGGAAAGTAATGATGCTGTTTCTTTGTTGGGGGAATTTATTTTCGCAAAATATGCAAACTCGGCTCCAGCCATGCCCTGGCAAAGCGCTTGTCTCTAGTAGTAAATTTGCGGAAATTTATATCAAGTTCCAAGTTTAGTTGCCGCAAACTTCCGGTTTTCGATGTTGTAATCAGGAACCGAAAAATTAATTTTAGCCAAACGATTTCGAATTTCATTCCGCTCTTCACAGGACAGAGTTTGCAAGAATTGATTGAAACTGGGAGAAAATTATCGCGACCAACCTAAACTTTGCAAAAAAAATGCAAAAGCCCAGTGCAAGCTTTCGGGAAGATCACGTTTGAAGATGAGGGCCTCAAAGCCCGAAAACTCACCAGTTTCAAGCCATAGCCGAGAAAGCTTCTCCAAATATTGATTATCGGRAAWATTAAATGCCACTAAAGCTCATGCACGTGAAGGATAATCTAAATATTGCCGAATCATGAAGGATTAATAAATTAAAAGGATGGCAATAATATCGTTTATATTCATGCAAACTTGCTAATTATAATATGACTCGTCAGACACATGGAAGGTTTAGAAATCTTTTTTTTTCTCGCGCTTCAAAGTGGTTTGTGTGGTTTAAGATGCTCGTTTCAATATCAGGCGACTGCGGTTTTAGGTAATACGTTTTGCAATTCACTTAATTTGCATGTTTTCACAACATCGGATCTTCACCACAAAAACACTGCAGTGGAATATAAAATTTTTCAATTCTGCTCATCAAAACAACTTTGCTTTTCCCAGTCATGTCCATACCTGATAAATCCCATTTAAACCAATAAATCCTAAATAGTTCATAGAGAAATTTATGATTTTTTAAACATTTTTTTGGTTCCTGGATGCACTGTTTGAAATCTGGCACGTTTCTCCTCAATTTCGTTTAATTATAAACTTCGCTCCTTCAATCCGCTTCCAACCGGCTGGTTAATAACTTAATACTTCTTAATTAACCAGCGGTTGTCAGCTTATCCGTTCCATTTTGCTTTGTTGCTGCCGTTTCCTCTTGTTAAGCTTTTGAAAAATACGTACAGTAGTTTTCAGGTGTAATTTGGCGCTTATTAACCAACCCAAATTTAATCCTCCAAAGTCGGTAAGAAAAATTGAATAAATTTCCCCACAGTGTGGTTGGTGTTTATTTGAAACTCTATTACATTAAATTTTGCCCTAATTAAACCGCTCTAAGCCATTAGAGTCATAATGTCGAGACCTTCTGGGGCGTACGAGTGTAAACATTTTACAAACTCAAAAGCAGTGTCACTCGGAGTGGCTTTCTTATCGACACATTTTTCAACAGCAGCATTAATCACTTTCTCGTTCTTGAACTTTTCGGTCAGTTTTTTCACTGTTAGGTCCTTCATAATTTCCCCTGATTCGTCGGTGAAACCGATTTTTTGAGTCACACAGAAAATTTGGTTCTTCAGCTTCGGATCGTCCACGTATTCACCTTTAACCGCTTTGTGGATTAAGGCTTGATCTGCCCCTGTTTCCTTCATGCAACCCTCGTGGATCGCTCTCATTTTTTCCTTTTCCGATTGGCTCAGTATTTGGGCCTTGAATTGAAGAAAACCCTGCTTATTAGCACACAAAGCTGCTATCGTTGAAAAGTGCACATTTTAATTAATGTTATTGCTGTTGAAGGACGAAAGAAGTGTGATAGTAATATCGCAAAAAAGTCGGCTACTAGGAAGTCAAAGCTCAAATTGTAAAAGTGCATTAGAGTAAAAAATAAATTTAGTCTTGACCTGTTGATCCATGGTGTTTCAGTTCGATAAATCAAACGAAATCAATAACTTACCCTGACGGCAACAAGAATAATTGCCACTAAAAATAGACACCTCATCATTTGGCTATTAATGGAAAATTCAATTTCTACTTTTGCTTATAAAACAACTATTTGGACAGTATTTAACCATAGGGAATCGACATCACGATTTATATACCTACGCGAAAGGAAATACTTATCATTTAGATTTTAGATTGTTTTTTATTTCCCTAATTTTTGTGTGGGGTAATGGGGCGACTAATACTCTTCCTGTTTATTCATGTTATTCATATTAAGGGTAATTATTAATTGTACTTGCAATCCGTAATGTTGCAATTAGGTTTGTAACTTTTCCTGAAAGTGCATGGAATGACTTAGTTTCTTAACATCTAAGAGAAGGCATATCAATGGCTGTAAGTAAGATTTAGTATATAATCAAAACACGTTTTTGTGATAATAAATGTAGTCATTTTAGCAAACATTCGCACTGCTATCTGGTTAACTTTGAACGAAAGCTTTGGCTTATTTCTCATTTAACACACTTACCGGTCTCTCGATGAAGAGCAAAGTTCAAGGAGATCAGTCTGAAAAGAACATATCTCATCAGTTCAACAACCTTAGAGGACACTTAGCAATTGACAATTTTATTAAGTCCAGTCAAGTACTTAGTTAATATTCGCTGCTCAATAATTCCTACAGAATTCACATAAAATATGCATTATTGAAATGGGCTGTGCTAAAATGTAAGTAGTGGTTTACAGCATAGTTATATATCAATTAATGCACATGGACTGTTATTTTATTGAGAAATTTCTATTTTGTGTGCTTAATAAAAATGCCGCAAAAGGATAGTTTGGCGACCCAACACAGGCAAAATTAATATCTATCTGAAAGCTCCATTGTTACAACATCTTTTGCAGTGGTATTAGCAGATTTCCCGAAAGTATGTTCTTTTCTGGAATTTGCAACGATAGTGAAATAACCTCATGATCCATTGGCCTTTAATTTTTTYYTWTWAAATCCACCATATAAAACCGGCGGACGTAAAGAACACATTAATACCGCGCTAAATCTGGAAAAATGAAGTCACTTGCTGTTGTTTTCACTGTTCTTCTCGCCGCATCTTTGGTAGGCTATCAGATCCCAATTACCCATTTCAAAGTGCRAGACCTTTGGGATAGAGTTCATCAACAGTGCCAAACAATCACCAAACACTCATGTCCCACAGGAAATTTTCGATCAGCTGAAGAAAGGCGAAAGCTTCCAGCTAATTTTGGCCTGCAAGCCAACTGCATGTTGAAAATGATCCTGCAGGACAACGAAGACCGCATTAACAGTGCTGGAGTCAAAGAAGCGCCCAAAGGCACTAGCAAAGCACTGAAAAATTGATCAGATCGTTAACGATTGCTCTGCTGCGAAGAAAACTAAAGAGGAAAATGCATGCTTTCAGTTTTATTCTCCTTGTTACCTAAGAAAGTTTAAATTCCCCATTAAACATTCCCATGATTGATGATTACAATCAACAGCAAAACCATTTGAATCCATACTCACTTAACGCATTCCTTCCTTGACACGATTCTACTAACAGTTTTAATTTCATACGAACAGTACACTAAGGGTCAGCCTTAATGGTCTCGCGACCTTAAATTTAGCATAAGAATTATTCATTAAAACTGTTTACAGAAATATTGTCGTCAATGCATATGATGCACTAACTGTGCTTTTATCGCTTAACTTTATCAAACTCTTTAACTGGAAAGGTTCTTCGATGGATGAACGACTATCTAAACACGATAACCTTTTCACTCTTGAATAAAAAATACTCTTGAATTCCAGCTATAAATATACATTGATACAATCGAATTTGTGTTCAAAAATTTCAGGCAAAAGTTGAGGTTCACAGTCAGCATGAAAAGTTTGGTAGTTTTTTGTGCCCTTTTGGTGATGGCTCTGGTGAGTGTAATCAGCTTTTATGTTCCAGTTAAATGCTAAAATGTATGCGTTTCCAGGCTCATGATCCGCATGGACTGGATTCGGTGCACAAAGAATGCCACAATGAAGTCGCTTCTCAACATTATCTGTGCATGGCCAAAGGATTGCATTTGGTTACTCCTGAAGGGAAAGTGAATGTAAACGGAGTCAAAACTCATGCCGGCCACGTTGTTAGCGAAAGCGCCAAAATTGATCAAATTGCAAAAGAATGCGCTGTTGATCACGCCAGCACTGAAGAAACGGTTAACCATCTATTTAAGTGCCTGGAAGAGAAACATGTTCTGTCGCTGGCTGGCCATGTTGCTCCTCAGCATCATCATTAAACTGTGAAGACATTTATTTTTTTGTCCAAGTGTTTAGTTTTGAATTTATTTCTATAATTAAATAAAATAGAAATTGAATTGATTTTGTTCCTAATAGTTGGGCAATAGTGTCCTTAGTTGCTTCTAAACCTTGTTAGATTCCTACTATTTATTCTGTAAATAAACTTTGAAGCCCCTAAGGCGGCAGAAGCTTTCCTGCAAACTATAGAACACTTCGTTCTAGATCTGCTAATAGATTATCCTGCGAATGATTTTAATCAGGGAATAATCAAGATTGTTTGCGCCCTGTTGAGTAGAATTCAGTCCACCTGAAGTGGCGCGGATTCGAGTCTAACAACGTTAGCCGTCTCCTTACAGGAAGAAATTTAATTTGATCCTGCTGTGTTTTTATTTAAATTTGCTCCCATTTGCCAAATTGCATTAGTTTCGGAATTAAATACAGCCCAATTAAGTTTGCAAACATCAGTTCAGATCTGGTAGAGTTCAGAGGGCTCCGAATGGCATGTCGAATTGTTTAAATATTTGATGGACACAAGAGTTTGTATTTGATTCAATTATTGAACAGGTTGTTTATTCAAATCATATTCATCAGTTTGCCAGGTCGTATTTTTGCTCTGAAACCTTCAGCAGAATTAATTACAAAATAAACTGCTTAAGAGGATGTGGACTTTAGGTGTTAGTATAATAATATAATCATGAATAAACGAAGCTCCTGAGCCAATTTTCCAGCAAAATCCCGAAATCTATTAACCGCTGAGCCATTTTCCCGGCTAAGAGCATCTAGATTGGAATAATTTCCCAAACAACCATGAGCATTTCCTTCAATAATGGGAATAGCAGGTAATTTAGAGCGAAACATGCTTCCTTCCTTAGGCAGTTCGGCCACAAATAATTAAACTGATCTGGGCACTGCGACATTAATTAAGTAAGTGAATCGTTGATAGTTGCAGTTTAAACCGGTAAAATCTCCCGACAATTAATAACTAAGTATAAAGTTGTTGACGAATTATTAATCTCCTCTTGGAACATGAGTCAATAACCACTCGGGCTTTCATATGGAGATATAGCGCATAAAATGAAAAATCGTCAAGTTTCTGACCCGCTGATAAAGTCTTGAACTGCGATAGTATGCAGAAGAACCAGTCCAGTCATAGAGCTGCAGAATAAGGCTTAGTGGTGTGAAAATGAAGGTTTTGGTGGTTTTGTGCATCGTTCTCATTGCCTTTACTTTGGTATGTGCCGTTTAATCGGTTTATGTGCTGCTTATGCCCAACTCAATGTGCTTTCAGATTGTCTCAGCGAAGAAAAACAAGTCAAATGACGAAGAAAAGCCTAAATCGTATAAAAAGGTTTTCAAAGAATGCCAGAAAAAAGACGAAACTCGTGTGGATGCTTCCATTATACGGAAACTGAAAAAACATAAACAAGTGGATTTGCCGGCCAATTTTGGGGACCATAAATTGTGCGTTTTTAAAGGTAGTTTGGGGATTTGTATTGGCGACTTTTCGGCATTTTTCACGGTTTAATTTTGCAGGCATCGGCTTGCTGAAGGCTGATAATACTGTGGACGAAGACAAGCTTAAAAAGAAAATTTCCAGTGCCAAACCTCAAAAGGACAATGTCGACAGCATCTTTACGGAGTGCAAATCCAGCAAATCAACACTGCAGGAAACCGCTTTGAATCTTGATAGGTGCCTTACTACAAATTCTATTGAGTTTTAGCATCAAATTTTACGTTAATCTTTGTATATAATTTAATTTCTAATTGCTGTATTTATTTTGTTTGACACTTTTGTACTGCTTTTAAATCATCATGTTTGGATAGTGCCTAATATATCTAGAAACTGCGTTCAACATTTTTGTTTTGGCGTTGGATTAGGGCAAGTTTTCCAAACAGAAACAACCAAAGTAACGAAATTATTTATTCATTTTATTGGCACAATGAAGTGAACATTTAATGGCCGTGGACGGCAGTTGCGTGATGTTTAAGCAAGCATTTGAAGAGATTCTCGGCGGTGGCGATCTCATTTTCCTTGTCAACAGCACATTCGTTTACGATAGCATCGACTTTAGATGCGTCCGCTACATTATCAGTGATTCTTTCCTTAATCAACTCTTTGTTGACTTTTCCATCAGCGTTTTGCCATTTGAGGGCTTTGGAAATACAAAGATCGTGAGGTCCCATGTTGGCTGGAAGCTGGCCCTTGCCCTTTGAGTCTTTGAAGGCTTTCAAAGCTGCCTCATCGATGGCGGTTTGAGGATCAGCTTGGCATTTATCATGAGCGGCCTTCAAGCGCTCTTTGATCTCTTCCTTGGTCAGGGCCTTTAGAGTTTTATTTAATTAGGCCAGTTTGTACAAAAAGTGCATACAGAGCTAGAGATTGATGTGCACGTAAAGATTTGAGAAAGCAATGAATATTGTTTAAAGTGGAAAATCTGCATAAAGTTGGGATTTGAGCAAATTAATAAAAGGAAAACTTACCGCGGCACTCACAACAGCCAAGCAAAGCGAAAGCACAACTAAATACTTCATAGTGGTTGATTCGGAGGATGTCTTTACCAAGAAGCTTCTTTCAGATGTCTTCAACGGGTAATAATAAACGTTCGAAGCCCGAGCCCCATTTATACCGAAAAACCGGCTGATATTTTTCTTTCAAAATTATTGTCGGTTTAGATTTGTAAACAATTAAATTATTTATCTGAACACTGTTATCAACTGGTCCAGCCAATATTACCGAATCGGGACATTAAGTGTGATTATTTAGTTAGAGAGTTATTTATGTTATTGTTACTAACCGAAGGATAGGGCATTTATTTCCAATTTTCGAATAACAACAATAGAATGTAACGGATATATCTACTTTTAGCGCATTATTACCTAGCGCATCATCAATGCAAAATTAAGTGTTAATTACTACTTTACGAATATACATATAACGAAATGCCTTTGTATATGGTGGAAAATTGTATTCGTTTCATTAAATTGCCGGTAATAGTCAGCGTCCTTAAAAAAAAACAACCACCCCTCGTAATACGACTGAACTATTCAAACCACGCGGCCTAATGCTCAGGAGTGAGAGCCACATACAAATCCCCATGGAAACCGCAGTGTCTCTGTCTTTCGCGCCCGATGTACCAGAGCGAGTAGAAAACTAATTTCTTAACGTGAAACTGGATTATATCAAAGTTTCCCGGCTAACAATTGTGCATTGTGCTTATTGTTCCAACACCGGTTGTTGCGAGGAGTTTAAAACACATTCAAGGCTCTGAAACGTCGAGTATCCCTGATACTTTCAACTTTAATAGCTTGATGCATATAAGCACTTAGTGAGTGGGTAATTCGAATGCATTTCAGGCCAATAACTCCTTGAGTGGTGTTTAAGTTGTCGCAACTGGAAACTTGAAAAGTACGCTCTATTCCATGCGATAAATCTTTGCGTTCATCCTCGATTGCCAATGTAGGTGGAGGTAAGTTTAGTAAAATTTCATTTCGTTGTGCAACAAAAACTAATCAGCACTGTCATTATTATGATCGAATCTATTCAAACAATGTTTTCCATTTTTGTAAATAATTTATATTTAATTAAATAAACAAGAGAATGGCCTGATACTGGCTGATGTAGAGTTCTGGACGGTTGCATCACGAACAATCCCGATAACCTTTCAAAAACATGTCAACAAATTAAAGAAAAAATCAATTGTGGGCACTGATTTTTGCGTGTGGCCCAACCTAAAGCCGCTAAATTTTGCAAGTCCCTGAAAAAGCAGGGAATCTTCTATTGGCTCCCTAAATAAACGCCGCAATTAAGTATGGAATAATATGTAAAAAATAAATAAATTCGTTCTGGAAATTGATGGTAAGCGTATCAATTCGCGGCAAATTAAAGTCGCAAAGCGACTGTGAAAAACGTGATTTGTGCAAATAATAACTTAGTCTTCTCGGCTATTTTATTTCCTGAAATAAATTCATTTTCTGTTTATTTAACAGCCAAAATCCTGGAAAGTTTCAACGCTAAATATCGTGTTTGTGTACGAGCGTGTAGCAACTGACCGATAAAGCTTTAAGTTTATTTTGTTTGTTGTTATGAAGAGCAAACAGCTCGTGTGTTTTATCTGTAACTCAATTATCTCTGGCCCTTGGCTGTGCGCTTTATCATTATAGAAACTAGGATAATAAACATGTTGATGAGGACCATATAGATATTATTAGCCAACATCTCACATTTATTAGTCCCGCAGGCTCCGGGATGAGCTTGTTTAATTGGAGCTTGTAAAATCGGACGAGCCTTGCAAAGGCCATCCCTCAAGCACATTAAGGTAATCTTGGAGCCCCGTGAGTGATAAAGTGGACTAAAAGGGTTTCTTGGCTTTTCATATAAATTATTCCAGTCAGTCTGAATATTTTCTAGTCACCAACATCCATTCGAAAATTACGAGCCAGACCATTCAACCATAAACCTGCAGATGAGACTGTAAGCTAAATAAATAATCATAAAAATCGCCTGCGAGTATGAAATTTACGAGATAATGATCATTTTATATCGCTTTGTTCAAATCGTGGCTGTTTATTAATCCAAACGAATAACAAAATCGCTTTATGTATGTTCTTGGGAAGAACTGTTTACGGCACACATTTATGTGTTTGCTGTTGTTAAATTTCCTTTAATAAACGCCTCTTCTTGCCCAGTTAAATCCCGGTTTTCTGAAGAAAACCCAGCGCAAATTTCCCTTGTACACACTCACATACACGTAAATTGCGGAAATGACAAGGGTTTGTAATCTCCATAAAGCTTTCCTTATCGGGAAATCGAGTGCATTCACCTGAATGTTAATACGCAAATTGGTTTTATTATGGCTTGACTAAATAAATTGCTCCCTATAAACTACAAATAAAATCAATTGGTTTTTTCGCTTTGGAAATTCAGACGTAAACTGTTTTAGTTATAGCGGACCATTAAAGCGCCAGTGCTGCGAAGGTGGCAATTGGGTCGTAAATTTAATTACTTTTTGAGGAAAACGGAAGAAGCCAAACTAGGGGTGTATATTTCACGTGAAGGAGTTGCGAAATTTCTTATTAGACTGTAAAGTTGCTAAATGACTGGAGGAAGTGAAACGAAGTAGAAAATTCAGATGTCTTGAACAGCGCAATTGCTCAGATGCAAATTTGGCTTTTGAAACATCTGCCTGGAAAAATTCGGAAAATTAAAGTTGGAGCAGATGAGCTTCTTAAAAATAGGCGCGGTTTCAGCTGATGATAATAAAAGAATTGAATAAATTCGCAGAGCTTCTGCACTAAAAAAACTCAAGCAGACAAAAAATTTAAGCTTTGGGCAACAAAAGAAGAGACTTCACTAGATGATTGTACAAAATTTCGATTGACTGGGAGCGAATATCAATTTTTGCAAAATTTTGAAATTTTCTGCCACCGCAAAATGTGGAAATCTGACTTTAAAAAATTCCAAATTGTACATCCAAGACTGAGCTTTCGTCAATTCATAGATCGGACTATAATAATAATATATATATCGTGTTCGATTGGAGCAAGTTTTATTCCTTTGAGGGTACAAGTTTTTTTTTTGGTTCGTTTCAAGGTAAAGTTGCTTGTTAAGAACTGAGAGCCGTTTGAGCTTAAGTACACCTCAGGCTTTAAAAATGCATAACTTTAAAGCCTAAGCAGAGCAATTTTTGAAAGTTTGGGCAGCCAAAGAATACACTTTACTCGATTGTAAAATATCGTTTGTTCATACATTTTTGCATTTTTTTTTAAACTTCGTGCTACAGAAAAGTTTGCAAATCTGAATTCAAAAACTCCTAACTTTAGTCCTCAGAGATCTAAAGCTGAGCTTCTGGAGCCCCATAGATCGGATCATGGTGGTTACTTGCACCACCATTTTTACTTCCTTAAATATTATTTTTGATAATTTTTGTTAACTCATTAGCAGATTTTTTATGCTAATTGAGGTGCATTCAAAACCTTGAAATTCACCGTTGAACAATTTGTAATTCGCCAGTAAGTAATGGGAAAAACACAGAGAAATTTATAAATATGAAAATAATTTGGTTTATCAAAGTAACTCTAATGCATTTGACGACAAATATTTTGTCACTCTAATGCCACTCTAATGGAAAGTAATGGTGTTATTGTTCATTTTATTTATTCATTCAATAATGTAGGTCAGCTAATCGATTCCTGAGCTTCGATTGGCCGTATCATCGATGCAGTATCAAAACAGCAATTGCATCAAATAAAATAAAAAATTAATTTTAAAATTTCAGTAGAAGAAGCAACTTTTAATCAATTGACACAGTGACTGTGCTACACTTTTCTATTCATGTTACAAGTTCAGAAGAAACTGCTTTACGAAAATTTCCAAAAGCAGTAAAACGAATCTGTTTATCCAGCAATTGTTCTAGAATCGCGCTAGCAATTGAACCAAACTATTGTTATTTGGTTGCGATTAGACTTAGCTAAATAATTTTGATAAATAAACCCAGCTGATAACGGAGGCGATGAAAGTAAATAACTAGTTTAAATGCATAGTTGCTAAATGATTTTTGGTAAAATATGTTGTAGTAAAACAAACAAACTGAAATCGTTAAATTTATAAAAGCGCTTTTAGAAACATTGTTTTTAATTTCAATTCCCGGTAGAAATAGACTTTTGTTTTGACAATATGTTTTATATAAATGGACGTGATTTACTGTGCGCCCAATAACATACAGATATTATTAAAATAAATAATATTTTCAGATGAAGCTACAATACATTTCATAAACATCTGTCAGAGGCGGAACCTACCCGATGAAATGTAAAGGCCGCATTTGAACTATATCTCTTTGTCGGGAAATTTCATTAAATTCGTTTTATGATCTATTGTTTGACTATTTATACGATTGTTTCAGGGGATGTTGATTAAACTAATTTTCCAGATGAGGCAACGACAGTTGTTGAAACTAAACAAAAAATTGAGAGAAAGTATTTTTGCAAACTGCGTAGGGAAATTGTTAAGAGTAAATGGAACATTGCAACTCTAGAGCCATTTGGTACGAGCTTCTGTTAAAATTCACTAATAGAAAATCCCCTAATCCAGCCTGGACTAAATTGAACAAAATCAGGTATCTTTCGTGTCATAACTTACTTTTTGAGTCTTCTCCAGGAATCGGCAATCGAAGCGACAACAAGCAAGAACTTTCGCGTCAAAATAGCCGATCCAAACTGAACTCAGCGTTCAGCTTACCCTAGAGTCGGGGTTTGTAGCGCGCTTGCGAAACGAGGCGTGTTCGATTCTCATTGAGAAATTCCAGAGAAAAAAATTCGGTTCATTTGAGTGGGATCCAGACGAGCCTGGAAAGAGGATGCTCCATTAGCCAAGTGGCTTTATCAGAAAATTGCACATTTCAGTAATGATTTGTATGGGCCCACCACTACTGTTCGTAGATTGTTTCATATCAGTTTCAACGGCGATTTTTTCCCGGCTCAAAACAGCTTCTCTTGTATCAGATTTTACGGTTTACTTAGTCTTTGATTGGAGAAACCCCTGACAGCGATTAATTGCTCTAGATGCTGACCAAAGCAGGAAAAAAGCTGCTGAGTAATGGACATCCTAAAACTTCTTTCTCATATTTATCGCTATTTTCAGTTGCAATGTTTTTAGGTTCCAGAAGCCGTCCGATGGAAGTGGAATGACATTTATTCCAGCCTCCTGAGCATACGAAATAGTTACATTTCAATTCGCTTCAGATTTATATTTTAATTTGATTATTTCCTGCCATCAATGGCGCAATTAAGCACACTGAAAGACGCCTAATTGATGGAAATGGAGCTTTCGCTTAACTCCATTTTCCCTGTTCGTTTATTGATCAGACTCCTTCGCTTGATTTGGCTGAATTGATGGCTCTTTTGGACACGGAAGCAAAAAACTCCATCTGCAGGAAAGGGAATACTTAAAAACAACTAGCTGCATGTCAACCAGGATTAAAATCAAATTACTGAAACGTCTGGCTGAATTTGAATCTAATTAGATGTTCTTCTCATAAGGACGGGATCCTGAAGCCCATTTTTTGCCTCGCGTGATGTGCCTACATGGGCGGTTTAATAACGCAAAACTGTAAGCTTTTTGTGAGTGGAAAGCGAATTTAATTTGGGGACTCGGAAGAGATTGCTCGGGCTGACAAAGTGTGAAAAAAGGCATATGTGTGAATTACCACTTAAAACGCAAAGTGTTTTACCCATTACTGGAAATTGGCCTTTCCAAACTACAACTTAGGGCGTTTTTACTTGGTTTCTAATACATTTCAAAGAGCTGACTGGAAAATTGATTCTCATGAAGTCAAAAAGAAAGTCGAGGAAAATTTATGGGAAAAGCAACCTTTTGAGCAATTAATAACCAGCCCTTGTTTTGAAACTAAATTAATTAGAGCGGTTAAATTGGATATTTGTGGTGTCGAGTTCCGGAGTCATTAAATGGGAGAGAGTTTGGCGAAATGGCTCAATGTGGGCCAAAGCGAAAAATGGCCCGATATTAATAAGCAATTTCTAATGCAAAATAATGTTTGCATTTCCATTTTGTAATGAGGACATTTTTCTGGCTCTTGTGTGGTGATGGAAAGCATTTTTTCAGCAGACCAGGCACAAGTCATTGCATCTTCAGAGGCGGTTTGTTCAGCGCAGCAAGAACAACGTCCGGAAGAAATTCTTTTTCATGACGACCTAAAAGCCAGAAAAACTCACCAGTTTCAGTTAATCATTGAGAAGTTGTTTGAAGTTCTGGAATTGTTTGGCCTAGTTTTAACTCCTCATGATCAGTCGAGCGTTCTGATCATTTGTGTGGACTGGGATGAACCACGCTCATCTTCGTGAGCGAGGCATAGATAATTCTTCGATTTCTATTACTGGAATTGAGAATTTTGCAAAAAATACACCAACACTGACTAGTTAAGAAAACTTTATTACAACAGATTAAATATTTGCAAAAAGATCAATCCGACATGGAGAACTTCGAGGTAATTAGTTGAACAATGTCGAAACACTATTTGAACAAGATAGCAGGAAATTGTTTCTCCTCAAGTTCCACAGGAAAGTTTCAACGTTTTAAATTATTTGGTAACATGTCCCTGAATTGACCTCGCAATTGTTTACACTCACATAAATAATACAATGTCTTAAGCTAAGATTTATGAAGACACTTTAAATTACTACGAGAAACCAGCGGACATGAAAAAATACTGTGTTTGGTCAAAAGGTAAAATGAACCGGAAAGTACACGACCCCAAAACCTGAATCTCATTTAAAAGATAACACTTTTGGACATCAGCAGCAAAGCAAAACCTCCAAAAATAACTGCTTTGAGCCCTTGCAGTAACTGGGCTGAGCTGGCAGGAGCGACAAAGTCCGAGAAGGCATCAGCAATGATCACTTCGCCTTCAACTCCTCTCACCAGGCCAAAGAGAGTGTTGTTGCACACCAAAGCACTTCCAGAGAAAACGTTGGTTATCACATTGCGTGGTATTTCATAGGTATCATTGACGAAAGTAGCTGTCGGGACGCTGGTGACCAAAATGGCATTATTCTGGAACGTTACATAACTGCAGTTAGTCAGATTGGAGTTAACCGCAGTTACGTTAATGGTTGTTAGATTGGTGAAAGGTGTTTCAACGTTGTGTCGTAGAACCACCAGATTATGGTAGATGGTGTGATTGATGATGCCGATGTTTAATCTAGTTCTCGTCACGAGAGTATTTGCCCAAATGTCCAACAGTTCTCTATCGTCGATGAAAATGTCATGAATTTCTCTGTGAATAACCACTTCTTGGGGACTAATCAACACTCCCAATGCTGTCTGGCTGTTCACTCGCGTGCTGAAGTTCGTGATAACTTGATTGAATACAGGCAAACTGTAGACGTGGTCTACAGTAACAGGAACGACGTTCCAAATAATCAAGGCTTGCGACTGTCCAATGCCGTGGTTGATCAGCAGCTGGACAAAATCGAGCACTTCATACCTGCTGGCACTTTCCAGGAACAAATTCCTGATCTGCTCCCAAAGAACTTCCAGAGTAATATTAGCTGCGTTGCAGGCTGCCTGCAGGTTTTCCAAGGTAAAGTTGCCCTGGATAAACACCGTCCAAGGATCAGGCTGACCAAAGTTCAGACCGCTTGAAAATGCGTCTGCATCAATTTGCAGGGCAATCAGGGCATTCCTTAGGGCTACTTGGCCGGTCAAATTCAAATTTGCAGTAAGAGTAGTGTAGAATTGCGAAAAGGTCCAGTTGAACAGCTCCAAAGTATAGTTAAGCCCATTGATACTGAACATCCGAGTTTGGGTGATGTTCAACTGGCTCAGAATGGTCTGAGTAGTGTTAAGCGACGTCTGATTGGCCCGGTAGAGGCTTAAAATCGCTTCAGAAGACAGACCTTTCTGCACGGGACGCTCGTAGATGACTCCCACTAGATAGTTGGGAATTCGGGCTTCGGAAATGTCGAAATTCACGCGGGTCAAGAAGTCAGTGGATATGGTCAGATCATTTTGGCCTTTGGAAACGCACCAAGTGCCAATAAAGGCCAAAGCCAGAAGTACAGCTTTCATTTTTGCAGTTCAATCAGGCCCTGAAACAAATCACAATTAGAGGGGCGAACATTTTTCAAAAAGTTTACTTGTAACGAAGCCTTAAAAATACATTATGGGCCCCAATAAAGTGAAAAGTTTGGCTCTTGTTGGGACTCACCTGTGCAGTTCGCCAAAGCACATAAACTGTTGATTTTCTGGTATTAATTTCCGTATAAAAGTGCTAATATTGATTGAGATAAAAAAGATTAATTCGCCTATTAGTCATTATTGCAAGATCAAGTGACTACAAAGTTTCAAGGAAAATATAGGATGGGTTTTAACAATGTGTAACATCTTTAATCTGTTAAGCCTTTTGTAAAATTGAGGCAAATTGGAGCCAAACTGAAAACAGCGCCCAGCAAACGTTAAAAATTTATTTGGATCGATGAAATGCCCCCAATTAATTTGAGAGTTAACTGGAAGTTTCGGAAAAGGGGCATTTTCGATATGAAGTAAGTTTATGGATTTTTTATCGCAGTTTCTGGCCACAGCTCGGTTATTTTGATCACGGGCAGGATTTTGCTTCACAAACCGATAAATCCGCCGCAGACGTTTAGATCTCAAAAGATTTGTGGCCGCTATATTTCTTTCTAATGATAATACGGGGCGCGTAGATTATGTTAGAGGATCGGCCGCAATTGTATTAATTAAATCCTGCCGATCCGTTTCATTGGTTTAAGTGATCAGTTGAGATAAATTTCCAAAGATTAACACTTGCATTTTAACAGGAATAACTAGAATAAACGCTCTGAATTCAAGTCGGTTTAGACAATTATCAAGCATTTTCACTCAACCAGCCCTGGATGGATTTTATTTCGATAATTTCCCTGTTTGTTTCAGTTCTTGTATTGATAGATTTCCATTACGTGCCTACGTTACGGGCGATTTCGTAACATCAAGCCCGAACGAGATAATATGAACGGTCTAATCTTGTGATTTCGGTAAACATTGAGCCAATTTAAACACGGTAATGGCGTAGGCGAAGTGATTTGATTCGACATTTATTGCTCAAACAAAACTTAGCTATTATAATAAACTTGATCAAAGTTGCTCAATTATAAAGTTTATAATTATAATTACATAAACACGTAACACGACCTGCCGATCATAGCGGCAAGTAGCTTAAGCCGCCAAGATCGGTTTTAAATATAAATTAGTTTTATCTAGTCTGGATCGAAAGTTAATTTTCCTCTTCTGAAGCGACCAATTTCCATGAATGGACATGCAAATACCGCAAGCGGCTTTAGATTCTCTGCTCAATTTAATTTATCTATTTTAATCGATAGAGCAAATTGTCCTTCGACATCGATTGAAGCCTCTGGGAAATGTGGGATTAGCGTTACAGCCTTGAATTTAGTGCAGTTGGAATTTAGGGCATAGCGCATCTATTCTAGATCACCTAGGCCTTTAGCTCTAGATAAACGAACTAGAGATGGCAAGTGTAAATTTGAACTATTAACTAGCTAAGAAAACTCAAGATACTCAAGGGAAAATCACTAATTTTGTATTCCCGCTATTTTTTAACTGTGTTGGACCAAAGGGCATTTAAGCCAGTGAGAGTAGAAATAAATTGCAATTTTAATTAATATTTGATTTATTGGAAAATATAGACTGTACCTGTGGAACGGATATCGGCAAGTAACACACACCTAGTTTACCACATGACGATCACCACTACAAGCTGAAACTTAAAATTGGATACTAATTAGCGGAACAGGTGATGAAACGCGACAAATTCGGGTTTTACATATTGGGCCTGATATGAATATGTAAACATCAAATTATTTGAGTAAAAGATAAAGTTGCGACTATCAAAGCTCCGCTTAATACTCAAGTTCAGTTTGTTGAAACATGGATGATGACAATGAAGATATTTTTTGGTTATTGCATGCATTCATCATTTTTCTGCTGACTTTGTTTGAAGATATAAAACTGATGACGAAAAAACACTCCCTAACGTTTCGCAACTACAAGTTGCGTGCGTCTTCATTGGTAGTCGATTTGCTGTAGGCCTGGGTAATAATGTGTCTTAAGACGCTTGTGTGTCCATGTGCCGCGACACCCCGCCTCTTACGACGCGGCACTTTGAACAACACTTAACATTTAATCTCATTCAAGATTGCAGTTCGTGAAGGTTTTAGGCGCAGTTACCAAATGGTTTCTGACCCTCTCGGCACGGATTATTTACGTTATAAAGCCGCACGAACGAAAGTGCTCAAAATACTTGTCTACTGATTACTGATTCCACTGAGAAAATTTTTATTTTTTCAAAAATTCGACCCTTGGAAGAATCCTTCCTCTTGGAAAAATTTTGACCAAAAACCATCATTTCACATGCGTGTTTTTTTAGCTCAATCGATCCCTTTCGACGTAAAAAGGTCACAAATATGCATTTACAAAGTGTTTGGGTCAATAATAAGGAAGAAATCGCCGGCTAAAGATCGTGAACGCTCAAAAAACGCTTAAAATGTGCCGAAAATGTCTATTATTTCGGATCTTTCAAAATCTTTAGTGTAACGTTCCTCCCCTTTTCATTCAAATTTTCAATGTTCAGTAGCTCCAAACGACAGTGCGGATTTTGTGTCCTTAAAGGGACAAATTTCGGTATTTTCCAAAGTCTTCGTTGTAACTTTCCCTGTCTTTTGCATGGGGATTTTCAGAGTTGAAATTGATAATTTTACGAGACTGTTCTCTTTCTGGTTAAAAAATGATCATTTGCTCCTTGTTTGTCTACTGAGTGGCTTTTGTGCCCTTAAAAGGCTTTTAAAAGGATTTTTCATAGTGTTTGTCCTAACTTTGCTCGCCTTTAGCATGAGGTCTTTCAAAGTTTATTAGCACCGAAAGTTGAAGGTTTTTCAGAATTTTTATAGCGGTATTTTCAGGAGTACCTAGTTCTTTGTTGTTCCACTAGGCTTCGGTTTAAGGCAACTTTCCTTGCCTTATGCAAGGAGATTTTTAACGTTCTAGAAGACCTTTTAACAGTTTTTTTCTAGTGTTATTTTAAGGAGGATGATCTTTGTTTGCCCGCAATTTGACTTTTGTGCCCTTAAATGACGAATGTTTTCGATTTTCATGGATAGTCTTGGGCGTAACTTTCCTCGCCTTTTGTATGGAGATTTTGAAACTTGAGTAGCTCCGAAATTGGGAGCTAATTTAAAGAGTATTGCTTGTTCTTTGTTTATCCATTGGGTGGCTTTTGTGCCCTAAAGGGCAAACTTTTTCGATTTTGCAGTCTCTGCTGTAACTTTTCTCGCCTTTTGCATGAATATTTTTAAATTTTAGTAGCGCCGATGGTGAGGGTTTTTTCAGAAATTTTTTTGTACCACTGGGTGACTCTGGGGCCTGGGATTTTTCGCAATTGCACCAACACTTTCAGAAATGCTTTGCGTATTTAATTCGTTGATTAGACAATAGCGGAAGAATGCAATACGCTCCACCTTAGGACGATTGCTAATCTTATAAGTGACTTTGTCTAATTCCCGATAAAACCAACGAGCAATTAAAGCTTAGCTTCTGATCTCTTTAAGTAGCCCAGTTGCGATCTAATATCGTTTTCAAGATATACTTTTATTAAATTCTCATTGTTCTCATGATTCAGTTTGTCGATACCGAACTCGTCAAATTCGTAATTTGTGGGGAATTTCATAACCACAACCTAACTAGTTTTTGGAAACCTTCCAGGATTTTCCAATTAGGAAAACTTTAGCGCCAAATTAATGTAGAGGAAACTTTATGCAAAGCAACCTGATGCCTGATGGCTGATGATTCAGGGCGATTTTGACGCGGGCAAAGTTGTTGAGTGGATGCTTCGAAATGTAGGGAAACTTTAGGGAATTAGTCATTCAAGAGAAAATCCGGCCCGAACTAGTTTCCTGACACAATTAATGTAAATTATCACGAAAATCTATTAAAAAAGTTCCAGCTTTTGTCATACAGATAACGAATTTCCATGTTAAATTTTCCAATTCCCCTCGCTTGAACTTGATTCGGAAAAATTACGTTCTAAGAGGAACGTTTCTGCTGAACCTGTAAAATAGCGACGCCATCCCTTATCTTTCTCATTTCGAGGTGTTCGCAATGAATAACTGTCTTGGATCGTGCCTGGAATATTTAAACAAGATCCAACAGAATTTGGAAAATTTTCTTTACAGACAAGCGGAAAATTGCCATTTCCCAGCTCAGCCAGAGTTTCCATATAGACATACTGCAAGGGTCTAAAGAAAAAATGTTCTTGTGTGTGTGCAAAGCCGAAATGAAAAGGGTAACTTACTCCCTTTGGAGGGTTGAATTTATTTTTTATGTTTCTCAAATGAATGCCCAAAAGCCTGTCGTTCGTGTATGGCAGCACGGTTCTACTTTCTATTTATTTTATGTTGGTAATTGAAATAAAATGAAATGCGATTTGGAGAATTGCGAACATTTTCGTCTGGGGATTTTAGTCAGTGCGCCGATTTTTTTAGAATGAATACACTTTTTTCTTCACTTTGGTTGCTCGATTTTTTCGGACGTTTTGAAGGCCTAAAAGCCCTAACAAAATCATCAATTTTTTGGAAACATTCTTTTTCACGCTTTATTGTTACACATGGTCAATAATCAAGGATCAGACTATATTCTCAACCCATTTATTATTTGTTTTCAGCTCGACTCTTTTGTTGCCATTTTGATAAGTAATTTACGACGTGCCCGGAAAACGCCATGTGGGCTCGAAGAGTAAAACGAACAATAAAAGTTGGAAAACTGAGTTGAATTGAATTTCCCTCCGACAAGTTTCCGAATAGTTTCATAAATATTTTCAATCTATCTTGTCTGAATTGGAGCTGAATAAAACGGCACCTGAAGTTCGTTACACGCATACGCTGAATTACAATTCATGAAAGGCGTTTTTGCCGCAGTCTTTAGCACATATTTTGCGTGTTGGCAAAATGCTGTTTTCAACTTCAACTAAAATGCCATCAAGGCCAAGTTCCTCAGAAAAAACTTTTAAATCACGTAAGGTCAATCGAAGATTAGCATTTGGTGTAAATAAAAACCCTCAATGAGAACGAATTTCCACCAGATCCGGAAGGAAAAAGTACCAATATAGTAGATTTCGATTTCAGCTAAAACTAACTAGAAACGACAGTTTCATTTATTTCTCACTGGGAACTTTCCTATATTGCTGGATTATTTGGTCGAAACGCGGGGTTTAAATCCCCACAGGATTCAAAGGCTGTCGTGCTCAGAAAGTTGCTTATTTTCCAGGAACTAAGCCCTAGATAATTATTTTCTGATACAAGTTTACAACTCATAAATAACTTTGCGAAAAGCTTGTTCAATGAAAGCCCAAGATCTTTGCAATTTTTTGCTTGTACCTCTGTTTTTTCCATTTTCACATTTTCTTCGTTTTGTAACAAAACATCTGTTGTGTAGAGTCACATTGTATCTGGCAAAAACAGTATTATTTGAGGTGCTTTCGATAATTAACTTGATTTTTCGTGTTCAAATAGAACATGAGGGGCCATCTACGCAGTGCAAGAGAACTTACATGCCGCAATCAATAGACTACTGGGTTTTAGCAAAAAATCGCTATCCAGTTGATTATTTTTCTCCTAGATGCCCCTAGATGTATTTTTTAATTCCTGCCTCCTGCGGCGAATGTTTGTGAATACCAGTCCTAATTGTAAACTATTTTTTCCAAACAAGCAAAATTGAAAATTCCAGTGCTTCGCAATAAAGTTTTTTAACCCTTTTCACTCTAATTAAGCTTGCATTTTATGCGGGTACTTTCAAGCAGCAAGCAGCTTTTATTGACATTCACTCCAGTTTGCATCTTATTTTGCAAGCGAATTTTCCTGCTGCATGCTACATCAGGCCCGAAAGGCATCAATCTTGTATTCTATGCCAGGAAATGTTTCCACTGAGTGCATGTGCATAATATATGGGTTGAGCCAGTTTATCAGCTTGTTGGCTTAAGAAGTAAAAAATGTAAGCCTTTTGATAATCAACTGCAAATGTTCTTTTAATCGTGAACAAACAAGCAAAAGTGTGTATTGTTCCAAACACTTTGTCGCTAAAGTTCAGCTTGCTGGCAAGCTCTAATTGCAGTATGGCAAGCTTTAAGCTCGTAACTTTCATCAACTGGAAAGAGTCTATTATTATACACAGTCATTAGCGTGGAACACTGCAAGGATTAGAAGAGCAATTTATTTAAAACGGGAGAATTGCTTTTGTTCATTCATGTTTCCTTTTTCGGCCAACTTTGAATTGTTTCAAGCGCGATCAATTCAAATTCGCCGCATTTGCGGACAACCTCCGGCTTTTATCACGAGAAACTTTTTGTTCTGGAAATAACTTTCTGCAGGTTTTATTTCATTTTTTAGTAAGTATAATGGATTTCGTGTGTTCCACCAACTAGCTTGCAACTTGTTATGAATTGGAAGCCAACTCCGAATTTGACCGATCAATTGTTCGCTCTAAGCGACTTTCAGAAGCTCATAGTTTGGAAAATAGACGGTAGACTCATCATCCCGTTCGTTATCTCCGGAGTTTCGCATCCAGCGCTTTCCAGAACTCAGTCGTATGTGTTAATTAAGTTTCGACAATGATTCATTATGCCCAACTAGGTTATTAAATGTTTTAAGTTTCTAACTATTTCCAACATGGATTAAGCATCGGTTCCCTCATTTGATTAAGTTGCTGGATGTCACTCTAATCCATTCCAACACATAAGACAGCAGCAAACTACAGATTCAGTTCCCTTAACATTTATTATCCATATTAATAAAATGCGTGCCAGTTTTATGAGATGGATTTCCCATTAGTGTTTGCGCAATAAGCTAAGTGGAACATTAAAATTGCAGTGTAGCCTCTAAACCGCTCCACTACAGAACGGAAACATTGATTAATTAAAAATCCTTCTTTAGTCGAGTTCTCATTACCGCGAGAATACTCATACACCGCAACTTTTTAATAATGGCCTCGAATTTTCGAAAGTGCTCCTTTCAGCTTTAACTGGAAACATTCCAAAAGCTGCGGGATTTTTTCCGAAAGGAAGCAGGGGATAAAACATTTTGCAGTTTGCAGAATTTTCGAAGAAATAAACCCGCCTGCAGGAGTGGCGTTAACGCAGCTTAGTGGTAATATAAATTTTTGTAGTGCGGGGGCAAACTTTAGCCCGAACAAGAAATTCATCAATTTGAAATATTGTAAAGCATTGAATTTATTCCAGATGCCATTGACCTGCGAATTTCAATGCCATGAAGCTTTGAACCTTTGTCGTCATTAAAGGGTTAAAGCTCCACCCACGAATCGGGCAAATATTGTCTTAATTTGCGAATAAACCCCGAGAAAATCGTGAATTTGACGTTGATTCCTCCGAGCTTAATTCAACCCTTTCAATTCAGCGTCATTCTTCGAGATTATCGATCATTTGCTTGACTTTTCCTACTTCAACAGCAGATTTCCCAAAGTTTTCCATTCCGTTCCTCTCCTTTCCTGGGGTTTTTGCAATTGTTCCAAAACTCGATTGATTGCATAAATGTTGATATACATAGGCTGGAGCACATTTCCTTGTTTAATTGCACCTCGTAAAACCGTAATTGATCTTAGTAAAAGCAACCCTCTTAGATTGTGTCTTATATAACCAGAGTTGAGCAGCAGCCGTTGTTCGATGTGATATATAATGACATTAACTGCATAGCGCCATTTGTTTGTCGCAATTTCAACAAATAATGTTCTCATTAGTGCATGAAGTGCTTACGGATCGAAAACTGCATGAGAAAATTAATTAAGCAAATTGATTTTGGGTTTGCATCCTCATCAAACCTTCATCGTACTCTTGTAGGGCCACTATTATCCTTTCATTTGGCGGCTGAAGATTTATGAGCCACCAAAAGTTTCCGGGGGTTTGAGGTTTCATTATTCTCAATAATTGAAGTCAAACGGTCGTTTTAGGGGGAAAAGTTTTCGGATTCTTTCTGAATTGAAACTGGGGAGTTTGTCGGGGTGTCAATCGGTCGGGGAAACGTTTCACCACCACGAGCTGCTTGCATCCGCAGGAGTATTTTGCTCGCAAACTTCTACTGAACTGACTTGAATGGTTTATCTGTGCACCACTTTCATACAAACAAATAGAACTTCAATCTATTTGACCAAAAGCCTAATTCTATGCATCTCGAAATTGCTCCATGCAGAAGCTTCCCGCTGCAGAAGATCAAATATGTAGATGTTAAATGTACCTACCGGAGGAAAACTGGTTGAACTGAAACAATACTCCGGAATATGGATAATGTGAATATCTTATGGATCCAGTTGCATTAATGTTGGAGTTTTTAGCTGGAGCTCAGGTGAAGAGAGCGATACAGCAGACTCTCATCTGAGAGGAAAGGACAATATTGCGGAAAAGCGCATGCGAAAAGCTCATCAGGGCTCCAGCCAGTGTGGCAACCGTATCGATAGTGCTGAACTCGCGTTTCCTCCAGCAGGACAAACGCGATCCAGACCAACTCTGGATAGTGAAATACCTGTTAACCTCACTCTTTACGTGCGAGAAATGAGCTCTATCACGTGAAAAGTTCGGTAAGTTTGCAGGCAAAACTACAACCGAATTTTCTCCATTGGAGAAAATTGTTCATTTTATCACATGTCTAGGTTTATTCATAATTTATTAGACACAATTGTTTTTAGGACCCTTAGGCCTCACTTTGAGCAACATTCAATTGATGGAGTTTGCAATAATGTTTAAATGCCAATTTATTGACTGTCGATTTTTTCCAGAGGGTTGAAAGTTAATTTTCTAAAAATCTGAATATTTTCCAATTTTCCAGCTCCATTGCCTCACAATTGCCGGTTCTTTACAAAATTACTATCGGGGTTTAAAATGATGATGACCAGCACTTATGGCAGTCATTAAAGCCAATTGCTGTCCAAAATCACCAACAAAGTTTTCATGTTTACAAAAATTGAAATTATCAAGACTTTGTTACATAAGCTGTGCTATTGGCAGGCTCTAAAGCAGATCAAATTCCTCACACTTTTTGGTTGAAAATGCTTTTAATTCCGAACCTGTTTGCGGTTTGCTCAAAATGGCAAATTGTCCCCTAGTTGTTGCCCAACAATGCGAAATTGTTTACTAAGCATTTGAGGGACTTCTGCTCAATTGTTGCTCCCACCTTGCCCGAACAATCCCCGTAATTGCGGGGCTGAATTCATCACAAATATCTGCATACTATGAGGAAATTGCAAGAGAAATCTACGGTTTAACTAGAAGAAAAGAAGCAATTCGACCGCAATTTAAAGCAAAAAAATGACCCCAACTTACAGCCAATTAAATCGATTATTATTAGCTGGAACTCGTTGTCCATTTGATAAACTACTAATTAATTTGTTTTAATGGCAAATTATGAGCTATCGCGTTTCACTTTAACCAAAATAATTGGAAACTTTAATATTAAAACATCGATTTACCGTTGCGAATTTTGTTGTTTAATGAGTAAGCAATTATGGCGAAATTTGTATATATTTAACTTGCGTTCATTTACATCCTGTAGAATAAAATGCTTGAGTGGAGCAAGGCAGACTCTCAAATGAGTGCACTAGAAAAAGACGCAAGGCAATCAAGGCGGAGCCATATTTCCTATCGACCAATCACAACCTTTTGACTGACAGACGAATGTGTGCCGTCACTTTCCAATACACAGCTTTGCATGTTTGCCTTGTTTAACTCAAGTATTTCAGTTGGCACAGTTTGACTGACTGGAAATAAATTCCCAGAACTTTCTATTTAGTTTTATCTGCAAACGCTAATCAATCACTTAGCAATCAATACAGTCCAGTTATCCTTGCACATACTCTATAGGGATTAAAATAGCAGGCGATTGTTAACTTTATTATTAATGAGGCTCCTCGTCGCTTCAGACTGTTGAATCAGCGTAATCTATTGACTGAATGCGATTTTGTGATGTTTTCAATCGCATGATAAATGCCTGGAGAAGCATGTTTTTTTATGAATCATGCCTCTTCGGCCCAATGGGACAAATCTATTTAATTTGAAATCTATACTGGTCATTAATCTTCCTGCTATTGGTCAGAGGTGACATTATCTGGTTGGCGTTTTCCTACCCTTGGACGATAACCGTAAATGAGCTTACAGAAGATTTGGAAGCTGTTTAAAAAATACTTCTGAGTGTAAAAGAATCTGTTTAAAGCCTCCCCTTGGCTCTCCCATAAATATATTTGAATTATCCATTAATTGCTGCTGCCTAACCATAGCGAAAGACCTTACGTGACATTCGTCCTAATGGATATCGAATCGTCCATAAATTTCTATAAAAGTAAAAGGGCTGCCCTTAAGTGTTCCGCTCTATTTTTAGAACTGTGTTTACTCTATTATTTACATTTGTTTTGGAAATTGCTTTCAGCAGTGAAACGCCATAAATGTTGCCATTTGGGTCGCAAACTTAAAACACTTAAAGCTGCTTCGCTTTGTTGGCTCCCATTGCACGTATCTGTGTAAGAATCTTGATACATTTATGGGGATTTTAAGATTACGGAAAATAAGGATTAAGACGTAAATTGTTGTTAGTTATTGCAGAAAATCCCGTAAAATAGCCGATGAATCGTTGGTAATGTCGAGGAATGACTTGCAAAGATTTCAAAGGATCTTGGGCTGAAAGGCAAATATTAATCAGTATTTCTCGCTCCAGTACCCCAGTAATCTGGGAAAAGCCGGCAAAGTCGAATTGTTTCGCCTAAATGGGCCCCAGCATTACATTCTGCCGCAGCTATCAAAGAAATGCTAATTCCATGATCTGCTAAATGGCTAAGTAAATATTTCTGGCTTTTGGAGAATGTTCGTACAGTTTTTTCTCCCGTTTTGCCCGCATTCGACCGAATAAATAACCAGTTTAACCTTTCCGCGAAGACTGGCCATCGCTTTGCCGAAGACCTGTTATCGAATGGAGAAGCCCCATAAAATAAATAGAGCAGCCAAAGGAAAATTGGTTCTCGACTGTCCACTTTCTGAATGAAAAGAATGTCAACGTATTTGCGAGCGTATTGATTCGGGGGATGGCAAAGGCGAGATCGGTTTTCGTATTATGGGTACACAAACGATGGGGAAATTGATAGCAAATATTGGAAGAGCGGACTGTAATTTTTACAGTTTTATCACAAGAAAATCATGAAAAACTTCAGTAAAGTTGGTAGCCTTTTGAGTCGCTACCGATCGTTGGCTAACAATTTCTAGATTGTTCCTACGAAAAACGCTGCAAAATGTTGCAAACTGTCTCTCGACCCACAACATTGATACGGCGAGCTTACAAAAATCTTGACTTGGACAATGAAAGAAAAATAACACTCAGAAGCATCAACAAACGTTTCTCAAAATTGCCTTTAGCGATTATACCAAAAAAACGCTGCTTAAACCTATAGTAAATAAACCGAAGGCAAAAAATATGACCAAAATACACTTCCCGATCATTTACTTTTCTCTAGGCAAGTGAAGCATTAAAATCTCGAGTTTCTTTTCATTGGTTAAAAGAGATGATGGCTCGGCGTTTCGCAAAACATCTTACAATATGTGGATGTTGTACACAATAAGAACCTTTTAAAGAGCGTTTGATATAATAGAGCCTAACTGGAACAGTAGATAAAAGGTTTTTTTAATCGGCTTTGCCTCTTCAAAGGAAAGGAAATAACAGCGAATAGAATTTTAAGCAATACGTTTCTCAATAATACTCAGATAAGCTTTGATAAAGTGTATATATGTTTCATTCTGTGTAGTAGAAGTAAGATTAAAAGTTTTTGCTCATTAAGCTCGAGTGGAGAAATAGCATAAAACTTAATTAGCATAAAACAGCAGCGACAAAAGCGACGCAGCAAGAAAATGTCGCAGTCATTGTTTTGCTATTTTCCTTTGGAATGCCCATGCAGTTTTCAAGCTTTCAGCTTATAACTCACATGCACTAAACCAGGAAGTTAATAATGAACTTCTAATCAGTTATATGGCCAGTAAAGCCGTTAAAATCCAGAAATTGGCTGCAGTTCCCGATCTTAATGCAGCAAGCGTTATTAGCTATTATGCATTCGGTATGTAAGCGAATTAGCCAAATATTATGGATTCCTCAGCTGGAGGAAATTTTCCTGGCATTCATAGTTCAATGAAATAATGAGATTTAAACCGAAGAGATACGATTTAAGGGGGAATTTGCACAAAAGGAGCGAGAATTGTTTGCTTCAATAAAAAGGCAAACACAATTAATCTCCAACCGAAAAATTTCCGCGCTGATCAATCACGGGCTCAGAACCACGATACAAGAAACCGTTAAAATTGGATGATTTTTCACGTCGATAATAAGGGTTTATTCTACAATTTAATTCTCGTTATTGAATACCAGACTGTTTCCAAAACATAAATTTCCCCAGCCTGAACTGCATCTGGTTCTGGCGAAAATTATATATAAACTTATGGCCATTTTTTCGCTTTTCCACCCTCAAGTCCCTAATATCGAATCTATCAAGCCACGATAGATAGTTGCTCTAAAATCCCAAACAGAGCTTCCAATGACGACATTGAGAATAATATATCGATTTAGCGGCCCGTTGTAATAGATTTCATGGTTTATTATTTTATGACCGATAGTGTTTATATTAAGGATGATATTTCAATCGATAGCTATTAGTGAAATGAATGATGATGGAAATTAACTCTAATAGCTGAAAAAAAAGAGAAATTTTGCGGAATTTTCCATAAAGAAACCCAAATGAATGTCCATTGAAATGATGATAAAAGAACCAGTTTCTTGTTAGTCGAACCCATTGTTATCGAATGTTTTAATTAGGAAACCCGTAAAAATTGGTTTTGCATTTTCACATTTTGTTTCCAGCTAATAGTTTTGTAAGAAATTTGTAAAATTTTATACTTTTTCTTAATTAATCTTGTTTTATTGCAGATCTTGTGCAAGTTGCCGTATTTGGACCGCCGTTAAATGAAGTCAGCAATAAAATTGAAACAAATTTACCCAGGAATTCAATAGCGTGAAATTGCCGTGTACAAAATTGTCTCTTTAAATATTCAGCATGTTTGATTCTCTAATGGAGCATTAAGTGTCCCAGCAGTCTAATCTGGAAAAGGGTTATTTCCATCAAGGTGTTTACCCGCAAACTTATAGTAAATTCGGGTAAATAAAGCACTTTTTATGGCCCAGATCTGTAGATTGCGGCAGAGTAGATACATATAAAACGCTATAACTGAGCTTTTAGAACACGCCACTGTTAATGAATAGGGCAAGTCATTTTAGCGAGATTGAAACCGAATAGCCCGAATAAGTAAATGCTCTTTTAGCTGACAGTATGCACTCGGCAATTTCCGCAATTTTCCAAAATTCACCGTCAAAATAACGTCGCTTTGTTCGGTCCCGAAGATTTATAGAAGCGCAAAGGAAAGCACCAGCTGGACACAATGGCAGACCACGATCCTTTTGACGACGAGGTAAGCAAAGTGACACAATTTCAGTTCTCCACTACAAAATTAAGTGATGGATGATGTTTATCCATTCTCCTAACGTGTACAATTGCTGGCAATTTATAACGGCGTGCTCTAATGGACGCATTAATTTATTGGAAACTTTAGAGAGTTTAAACTGAAAAATCTCCAATTTCAATCACTTCGTCATCTTCATCGGTATGATCATATCGAATAATGCGCAAACCAATTTGTTTTCAGTCACTTTGAATGCAATCCGGATCACCGTCTAGTTTGCCAATATTTTCCAGGGATTAGCCCTTGGTCAGCTTTTGCATTAATTAAATTTGCCCGAATTTATGAGCTTGTGATTCACAGTGTCAGAGGCGCGATGAAACTGCCATTTACTCAACTGCGCCAATCTCTGGAACATTTCTGCGGCAAACTACAAACTTGCATATTTTTTCAGCCGTTTCAACCACCCCAACTTGAGAAGATAATTTAAAGTTTTAAGTGGGCAATCTGATAAAAACTAGAATTTTGCAATTTGCCTTTGCTTGTTTCAAACAGGAGCCAATTAGGAGTTTGAATATTTGCAATTAAACTTACGTTTTCTTCGCCAGTAAGCAAGATGTTATTTACAATTTGAAATGAGAACATTTGGAGGAAAGAATCCGAAGGGAATCGCGTAAATTCTCCACTCACCAACGCCATTAAATTGCCATAAGATGCGCCAAAAATTAATAAGAATGTCGCGTTGAGAGGCAGCAAAAGTTACAGGAACTTCCGTTTAATGCTGAAGGAGTCGCAGCAAATGACGCCTCCATTCTCCATTTCAGGCAGCTATCAGCGCTGTCGCTATCTGCTACTTGGCTGACGTATTTGCCGCAAACTTGTAATATTTTACTGATAACGCAGTCGTTTCACCGCCTGACATAAAATTGCTTATTTTTCAATTTGTGAAAAAATTATTGCCTATCGAGCTGATGGATTAAATGGAACCTGGTGAAAAAGAATCTCGTCTTAACGTTTCACAAGCACGAGTAGCTGGCATGTTCAGATAGAAGAAGTAGTAATTACGCTTCCATTTTACTACAAGCTTTTTATGAAAACTATCGAGAACTTTGCTGAGTAGCTGCTCAAAGGATGTGAACTTACTTGGCAGTAGGGATGATGTAGGTGGGTAGTTAGCAATTAGCTCTACTCTCACGTAGAGCCTCAATTAAGTAGAGTCCACCCATGTAATCCCAGCAAACCAGCCTCTGACAAAGGCAAAGCCTAGTTAAATATTGCAAATCCCTGAGAAGTGACCCCCCATTATACGGCTGGGCAGCAGGCTTTATTTAAACATTAACCATGGCTTTCCCTTAATTGAAAATCTTCCTCTGCATACAGTTAAATGATAAAATCAAATTGGTGCTGGTGTTTAAACTATTTTTTCTTAGTTTACAAAGAATGGAACTTTTGCTGTGTGTTGGGGGAAAGTTTGTGTAACATCCTTTCGATTAAGTGCACATGGTTTGGCCGAGGGTTTACATACACCTGGACATTTTCCAGGCATTGATATTATTGATCCAGGCTTCGGGCTAGGTGGTGAATATTTTATGTCAGCGCACCCCAATTATTTTTTTAATTTGGATTGTTGTCCACCTGGATATTTAAAGTGGCACGCTATTCGCTGCGATAAAGTTATATCCGGAACTCCAGCTGGATGAACTTATCGAAACTTTTTCACTTGTATCAGCGTCTATTGATTCCTGGAAGTTTCCGAGGAACGGTTGGACCCTTTTCAATTATTCGGATTCATAAGAGTTATCCAAGTTCGCTGCCAACCGATCGGATCTAGCAACTAGTTTGGATGATTTCTTGCGAGGTAATCCTAAAAAATTATTGATAAAACTGGTTGTGTGTTGCATGCCTGAACTAATCTCCAACAAAGGATCTCCATAAAATCTTCAATGGCTCCATGAATTTGACAAGTTTGCTTTTTTACGGCTGTATGTACACAGTCGACCTCTGATATTATTAGGTTTGTTTTTATTGGTGATAAAACTGGAGAGCGAAGAATTGAGCCATAATTCCACGTCTTTACTGCAGCCAGTAATAATGTTTGATTGTCGAATACAGTAGTCTTTATATCCTACTGTTCCAGCCACCATCCTGATGGATATGGCATGCGAACAAATTAATTTAAATGAGAAAGAGTGCCAAACTTTGCCGATCAATTTCCGTTGATAATTGGAAAAGTTTCGAGCAGTTTACGCAGTGGCCAAGTTCGAAAATCTATTTCATAACAATGGACTCAAGCCGTATTTGCAAAGAACTATTCCCTAGAAGTGGTGAGGGGAATTTTAATGTCAGGTCAAGTCTTTAAAGCCCTAAGTGCTGATAACGGTAATGGCGTCATCCATTTGAAACTTTTCCCATTGCAATGGCAAAAGTTGCAACTTTATAAAGCTGGTTTTTAAATTTTCTTCATTTTATTACCCAATATTCCATTGCTCCTTCATTATTTATTTGCAATTTGTTACTGTAGAGTAATTGCCAATACTTCAAGGCAACTCATTTCGAAAAAATGGAAGAAAAGCCATAAAGCCATTGTCTCATATATCCATAAACCCAGTTTCTCTCATGAAACGGTAAATCCCACTAGCAGCAGCTGCAATGGAACTTTTTTCGGGGTTTCCAGAATCTCGGACAGCATCGGAAACACATTAGGACTAAGGGGTTTTGGCCGTTCTTATTCAATGAAAATCCGTCAAATATATTATTGCCTTGCTTTAATCTTTCTTGCGGCTTTTTCCACGGTGCCTGCAAATGGCAAAAAAATGGCAAATTGTCCCCTAGTTGTTGCCCAACAATGCGAAATTGTTTATGAAGCATTTGAGGGACTTCTGCTCAATTGTTGCTCCCACCTTGCCCGAACAATGCCCGTAATTGCGGGGCTGAATTCATTACAAATATCTGCATACTATGAAGAAATTGCAAGAGAAATCTACGGTTTAACTAGAAGAAAAGAAGCAATTCGACAGCAATTTAAAGCAAAAAAATGACCCCAAATTTTCTTCATTTTATTACCTAATATTCCATTGTCCCTTCATTATTTATTTGCAATTTGTTACTGTAGAGTAATTGCCAATACTTCAAAGCAACTCATTTCGAAATAATAGAAGAAAAGCCATAAAGCCATTGTCTCATATATCCATAAACCCAGTTTCTCTCATGAAACAGTAAATCCCACAAGCAGCAGCTGCAATGGAACTTTTTTCGGGGTTTCCAGAATCTCGGACAGCATCGGAAACACATTAGGACTAAGGGGTTTTGGCCGTTCTTATTCAATGAAAATCCGTCAAATATATTATTGCCTTGCTTTAATCTTTCTTGCGGCTTTTTCCACGCTGCCTGCTTCGAAGGGATTAGAAACTGTTGAGCGCCAGTTTTCTGGAAAAACGAATTAGTTTTGAGCCTATCATTTGTTGGATACTTTTTTTAGGTTCCAAGTCCTGACAAAACTTGCGATGGATAGTTAAATTCCGTATTCCTGCCACGACTCTTAAGTATCCGAAAAATGAAACATAGCCCGGGATTGTTTTAGATCCCGGATTTCCCGTTTATTTAGTAGGAAACCTTTCCAGCCAAAAATAAATCCCAATTGATCCTTCACATAGGGATTTCACGGTAGCCCAGGAAAATGCGCTTGATTTATGCCGGAATAATGGATTTAATCAACAAAATATAAAGGGCATATTTGTTCTCTGTTCCAACTGCTAATAATTTCCAATGTTTGTCGGCAAGAGGAAGCCTATACAGAGTGTGTGGGTCCGTAATAATTTTTTTATGAGAGAATCGACCACAGAACTCACAAACAAATTGCAGTTGCTTTGCAAAATTGCCAGAGGAAAGCCATCAAAAAGAATTTTAAAATCGAATTAAGTATTCATGGGACGCTGTTGTAAAATACCCTTGAATATTTTAAATGAGCGGCGTATATGGAGCTTTTTGTTCCTCTATGAAATCTTACCTGTCCGTCCATTTTTTTGTTGAGCAATCCCCTGCAACTGCTT